AATTTGGTGTGAAAAGCGAATACACAGTGCACCAACAATTGTAGCCACTCTTTCTATCCGTAGGTAAAAAATAAGGCTTCCTTTGTGTGGCATCTGGCCAAACTTCATTATTTAGGAATAAATCTATCTTTACTGTGGAATTTTGTGTAGATTTAACAGGAATCGTTAAAATGCTGATGGGGATAAATGGCATGTGCTACTTTTAGCCATCTAGGAAATCTCAGTCCTCATTAATTTGTCACATTTTGGTTCCATGGAGGGCAGTGCATTACCGTGTAACGTGTATATTCCCACACTCCCGTGTGAGAGTGAGGCAGTCCATTCACGAGCGCGGTCTCGTGACGCAGCTGGTGAATTGGGCGCTGGCAAGGGCCCGTGCCAACCACCAACTGGTGAATTACACACCGGTGCTTGCTGGTAATTTTGCCTACTTATAGTCCGCTGCTGGGGTTATTAATACAAAGGCATACATTTCATATCATAATCGGTTAGGGAGAGGGTATGGGTGGATATTCTCGACCAATCTAGGCAGGCTAACACGAGTCAATATTTAGATTATGCGCCTTCATAACTGAATACGCAAGCAAAACGATTCGTCTTCAAGCAAATTTTAATGGTGCCGGGCATTTATGTGTGAGTAAATTTAATCGACTTGATAGCATTTCATGACGCTGCAACATCTTGTCATCCACCCACTTCCAGTCCAAATTAGTGAGATTTATTTCATATTTAATTTAATGCAAGAGATTTTAGGGACTCTATAACCTAAGAAAATGAATTTCGTTATAAATATGCGTGGGCATTGAAGGTCAAGCTCTGAACAGATGATCTGTACAATGCCTTGAATTCTGACCATGAATGTCACATTGCTGGACTTCAGAAATCTGTGCCATCACCCATGTAGTAATGACAACTGAGAAGCCACCTAATTGACACAGAGAGTCAAGTTTAAGGCGTACAATTTGAATGCCCATTTGTGATCAAGTCAAGCAGATGTCATGGCAAGGCTAACCTTAAATGAGCTTCCTACATCCACCAAGTCCCTCCTCCCAACACCATTAACAGCCAATTTAGGCATCGTTAAGACACCACAATAATATGAACGATTCCAGTGAGGAAACGATTCCGTTTGACAGCATTACGTGCTTCCTGTCTCCAATGGCGAGGCAACGGAAGTGGTGATAAATCTTTGTGTGGAGA